GGGCGGGCCCTCGGCTGGCCGGCCGCCCATTGGCTGCAGGGCCCCGCGGAGGGACAGGCTGGCCAATCACCGGGCGGCGAGAGCCGTCATTGCCCCGCCGCGGGGAGAGCGTGGGTCCGAGCGGCGTGGCCGGGTCTGCGCGCGCGCGTGCGGTGTGTGCGTGTGTGCACGTGTGTGCGCGCGTGTGTATGTGCGCGTTGTAGGGCGGCGTGAAGGCCCGGAGGCTCCCAAGAAACCGCAGGGGGCTGCGCCGCAATCTTCGCTTCTTTTAAAGACCCCGCGTGTCATTTAAAAATGGGAACACTGCCCAAACGGGGCGGCAAAAAGGAGGCATATTTTAATATTTACGCTTAATGAAATATGCGTTCACTGCCAACCGTGGTGCAAGAGACCCCTAGTTCCCGGGCACAGTGTCAGTGTGTAAGGACATGCAACCCACGGGGCTCTGCCCGCAGCCCGCGCTCAGAGCGGGTCCCACCCGCGCTGGCTCCACCGCCGCGCGGCCCCCCGGGAGGCCGGGCGTTAGAAGTGGGTGGGAGCTTCCAGCCCAGCCACTGCCCCGGGCAGGGCAGGAGGTCTTTGGGGCAGGACCTGTTCCTGTTTTCGCCTTCGTTTCTTCTCTAAAGACGGGTGGGGAGTCCCTTCCCATTATGTAGCAGGGAGTGCGGTGACAGTGCATCCCTGTCCCCGCCATGGCCCTCGGAGCTGTGGCCAGTCAGGAGTAACCTTCTGACCCACTTCCTCCAGGAGCGGGTGACGGCGGAGTCACTGGGTCGCAGCGCGGACGCCGTCTTCGCCCGACGCGGGTTATCGCGCAGAGATACATCCAGCTTCCAAGCGCCAGCCCTGGCCCGTGTCCAACGGAGTGCCGTCCGCGTCCCCAGAGGGCAATTGCAGGCCCGGGGCTCCCACCGCGTTTAATCTTACGAACTAGCACGGTGGAGGGAGCATCGCCCCCATTTTCCAGGGGGAAACTGGCTGCAGTAGAGGAGAGGAAAGACTCCCCCAGATGGTAACTAGCTCCGGGCCCAGCGCCTGCATCGACGCCCCGGCGTCCGGCGGGGCAGCAGGGCCATAAGACCGGGAGGGGCCGAGGCCTAGCCGGCGGGACCCTGCTGGCCTGCGGCCGCGGAGACAAAACGGTGCGCCTCCTGGGTGCGCCTTCTGGCGGCTGCCAATAAGGACCTCTGCTGCCCAGTGGCGTGTGAGACCTCAGGTGCGAGGGGGACTTTTCTGCAGACTCCAGGACCAGATGCTCAACCTATTCCTTTGGCCCTTACGACTTAGCCCAGGAGGGACAAGGATAATCAATGACAGGGACTCGCCGGGTTGTTTAGCCTTGAGACAACCACATGGTGGGGGCTCCTCCCCGCATTTTATGGACAAGGACACAGTCAAAGTGAGTTGTAGTCTTAGGGAAGAGGTTTGTCTCCCAAGTCCTGCTCCCTGGGGTGCCCACGGTCAGAGAGACTCCATAGGGTGACGTACCCCAGCCAGAGGGGGCTGGGCCAGGGGAAGACGGAGAGAAAGGACCGCCCAGAATTTGTCTGGAGAAAAAGCGCTAGGCCTGGGCAGATGCCTTATAGCCCAGGGCACTTTTGACAGGAGGGGAAACTGAGGCCAGAGAGAAGCCCCCTGTGAGCTGCCCCTCAGCACGGTTTCTCTTGTCCAGCCGCCAAGCCTGAGAGACTGGTGCTGTCTCCCCCGTTTCTCAGAGCACCTTCAGGGTAGGGGCTTCTGTCCTTCGGGCCTGGCGGGGCTTCCTCAGAACCTGGGTTCTAATTCCTTCCGCTCTGGGGCTGTGTGGCCCTGGACGAGGCTCCTCGCGTCTCTGATCCTGTAAACCGCTCATAATAAGCGTCCCCGCCGGTGCAAGGCGGTTGGGAGTGGAGGCCGGGACCGCCGGGTGGGCGGTGTCGCGACAGCAGGTGGCGCTCGCTGGTGTCCTCCCACCGCCTCTGGGGGGCGCGCGCGCGGGGGGGCGCCTCGACGGGCAGCCCTGCAGGGCCGGGGACGCTACGCGACCGGACGGGACCGCAGGCGGTGGATCCCAGCGGGGGAGAGTGCGCCTTCCTCCGCCAGCACCCGCCTTCTGGGGGGTGCGGAGGGCGCGTCCCCAGCCGCCGGGCACCAGGCAGCGGCTGGCGCGCCCCAACCACGAGCCGCCTGTTCTGGATCCCCGGGAAGCCCAGGTGCGCAGCACAGGCGTGGCGAGCGACAGATCGTGGCCGCTGAGGTCAGGGTCGGTTTGAGACGCGCTGACCGGCCGCGCTGACGGTCGCCCAGGCCACTGCCTCTGTGCTCCGCGCTGGTTCCGGTGTCGCGAGCGAAGACTGCGGTCCAGGTGAGTGGAGAGGCGGAGTCTGGGGACCGGACTGTCGCAGAGGCGGGAACGGAAAATCGCTGTCTCCGCGGCTTTACGCGTTTAGACGAGGCTCCCAGGTCGGAGCGGCCGGCTCTTCTCACCCCAGGGACAGTGAGGGAGTGCGGGACCGACCCCGCAAAGTCGCCGCCCTCAGCAGTGGTGTCTGGCACCCCCAGGATCAGGGCCCAAGGTTTCTGGTCACCTCCAGGCACTAGGCAGAACCCTGGGGCCGAGGGGCTTCCCTGTCTGGGAACGTGGTGCCTCTCAAAGTCTGTGGTTGTCGCCTTCCTGTGTCTCCATCTCCACGCGTGCACCCCAAAGCCCCCAAGCCACGCCCATCCTCCCTTACAGACACCAAGTCCGTCACTTCTCTCTGTCCACTGTCCTTCCTTCCGCCTCCATCAGCTCCAGCGCCGGCCTCTGTGCGGTGGAACCACCCCCAGAATCGCGAGCGCGGCGCCTGCAGGAAACCTCCTTCCCCTCCACTGGACAGTGAGCCGCCCTTGGCAGGGACTGTGCCTTGGTCACCTGTGTCCCCAGTGCGCAGCTCAGGAGCTGGAAGCCACAGGTGCCCCATAATCTGAGTAAATGAGTGGGAATAATCCCAAGAGTATAGATTAGGGTTAGCGAACTACAGCCAGCCGTGGCCTGTCTTGTTTTAATAAACTTTTTTTTTTGAAATAATATTTTTAAATGTCCAGTTTTAATTTTAACATTTATTTTACTTTTGCTTCCCTCATCCCTCATTTCAACCTTATTTGCTCTTACCTCACCTGATGCCACCCTGGGCACCTGGCTCTTGGTTGTAATGTATAGAAACAGTAGTACATTTACACCTCCTCTAATTCTCATTTTTTACAGTCCATGTTTGAGATCTGTCTGTGCTGGCAAATGCAGCAATGCTTATTTCTTTTTTAACACTATGTTCTAACCCAACTTTTACATACACGGGTGTTCCATGACTACGGCTGAAATCACATATTTCCCCAAATTTAGTGGTGCAAAACGACCATTTATTAGTATGCTCACGGATTCTGCAGATCACGGGTGGCTCATCCCCAATTCATGAAACCTGGGCTTCGGATGGGAGACTGCACACGCCGGAGAGTGCAGGACTCAGCTAACGGAGCTTTGGCTCATTTATCTGGGCGCCGATGCTGGCTGGCTGCTGAGGGACCCCTACAACATGGGTGCCCAGGACAAGTTTGGGGGACTGGGAGACAGAGAGAGGGAGGGAGAGAGAGTATGTGCACCAGGCGGAACCTAGGTCACAGCTCCAACCGATGTTCAGGGGGAGGGGACTTGGACCCCACTTCTGAGTAGGAAGAATGTCACATCGTCAGACTGTATAATGAGAAATACTGTTGTGGTCATTCAGGAAAACACAGGGACCGCGAGGATGGTTTACTCCCTGTTGGGGGATCTTTAGGTTGCTTCCAACTCTCTGCTGTTACACATAATATTGGAACGAACAGACCTGTCCACCTTTCTTCACGGGTCTGAGAGTTCTTCTGGGGGCGAATGCCCAAGGGTGGAGATTCTGCGTGACGCATCTGTACAGACTCAACTTCACTGAGCTCTTCGGA